GTGAATCAGGTATCGTTGGGTTGATCACCACAAGCGTGGGTGACGCATGCAACAGAGTTTTCCATGCCGAGGCGATACTCTGCTGGATCGCCTTTGGCTGCCAACTTTCCACGTGAACTGGCTCTCCGATTCTGTTCCCGTGCCGAGCCATACAGGCCGTGATTCCCGTAGGCCCTGGGGCGATTTCAAGGACATCACAAAATCTTCCCCCGTGCGTGTGATAACAAATTTCGTGTTCAGCGCAACATTGTGGCTCGTATTCACAAAACAAACCACCAGGTTCCTCTCCCGGTGGAGAGCCTCCTGGTACCTTGTCCATGTCAAGAGGAATATGGACATCATGCCAGGGGTCATGGTCTCTACGAATCTTTGACTGATTCACTCGAAGGATGGCTTGATGCACATGAACAATGACCATCGCACCTTCCTGTCCCATGACCTTGCCTCTAACCCATACTCCTTCTGACTTTATCTTAGACTCATCCTTCATCCAAACAAACACCTTGTCCCCCTTGACATAAGGACCATCTGAGGGCATGACTCGGCGAGCCAGGTCGCTTCGAAGGTCCTGGGCCTGTCTTGCCTCTTGATGTGCTCGCATAGCAATGCGTTGCAACTCCTGATTGGTCCTGTCCTCTCGAGGGGCCAAAGCTGACAATTGTTCAGGTGAACTTGTTTCGACGTCCAACAGATCAGGCGGTCTACGCCCTGTGGCTATTTCTAGCGGTGAATAGCCAGAGATTGTGAGTTGGCAATTCCTTGCCCAAACAACCTTCTTCACAGCATCCCTAACAGTGATGCTTTCAAGGAAACCTTCTTCTCTGAGAGCCTTTGTCATTTTTGCCCATGTCTTTTTGAAAAGACGAACTGCTGTTTCTGCTCTGTTCGGCCACGGCGTTCTTGGCCCGCAGGGATAAGGTGTTATCCCATGGAAGCGGTAAAATGCCAGGAATTCATCAGCGAAAAAGGCTTGATCACCTACTACTCCTTTCGGAACACAGTTGTTCTCTTCGATCCATCTCCGCAATGCGGCAAGGGTTTCGGTAACCTCGAGTCCAACGAGGGCCGTAGCCCAAAGCAGGTTAGACGCGCCGTCGAGAATCAAAAGAGTGATATAACTCTTTTCTCCGTAATTGATTTCAGCATGATCGACAAAAATAAGATCTCCGAACGACGCGGCACGAAGGCCTGCGATTCTGGCTCGCGGCGGTGCCGGAACTGTTGTTCCGCAAACCCTGCATGACTTGACGATGCGGTCGTACTTTTCGTAAATCTCTTCAGGAAGGCCTAACATGGACGTACGCCTACGAAACTGCGCGGAACTCATGTGGTAATGCTTCACATGCAACTTGCACAGCTCCACATCACTTCGCAGCTTTTCAATCATGCGTCGAAAGGCCGGAGAAGAGCGGGCAACTTCTTGCCCGGGAAGAGGTAGCGCTATACGCCTAGGTTCTGGATCGAAGCGCTCCTCAGGCGCATTGTCTTCTTTAGACTCTGGAGACGGCTCTGGCTGCTCCACTGGAGCTTCAGAAGGAGAGTACTGATCATCCCATTTAGTTGTCTCGACACCCTTACCCTTCAGCTCTGGAAATGGGTCTTCGTCCTCATCTCCAAAGAGCTCTCCTGGAGAGAAAGGTAAAGGTGCCTCTTCTGGGGAAGAGCTGCCTTCTTTTCGCAAGGATCCCTCTCCTAAAGGAGAGCCTTCCTTTCTTGAAGGATGTGGCATTAAGCCAGAATCTGGCTTTTTGCCTGTAATTTTCTTCCTAGCAGGTGCCTTGACGACTTCGTCATCAGGCTTTCCTCTGCGCCCGGGGCCTTTTCCCCGAGTACTCACCTTCACAGAGGTGCGATTCTCTATGCCACCTGGCAGAATCTTGAAAACGGTTCTACCTAACCACGGCTTTGGAAACTTGACGGGAGGCTTGTCCTTCCATTCATCATTCTGTGTTTCCTTTATGCCATCCTTGTAGTTGATGGTGGTCTCCCGAATCGTGTCGAGGTACTCGAGTGGTATGGGAGTATTCCCTTTCGATGGCGCAAAGGACTGAATTCGCTCCTTGCGGTGAACTCGGATTAGACGATAGTTGCCTTCGTCCAAGCGCCATTCGTCCTCCACAACCAAGGCTTCTGAGGATTCCTCCCCTGGAGGGGAGCATTCCTTCGTGACCAACTTGTAGCCATACTCGAAGTGGTGCTCGTTCGTCATGAAGAAACTCACCTTCTTATGTGCATCGAAACGAACTCCCCACATATGCCAGGCTACATCTATAAGATCGAGCATCAAGTGTGAGCTTCGGGCAACCTTCAAAGGAAGGTTCTTCATGCCCAGAACTGAACTTGACAGAAGGGCTTCGTCAGGCTCTAACGAGATCTTGAAGCGAAGGTTCCTCATCTGAGGTAACGACATCAAGAAGGGAACTGTGCCCTGATCAACGATGTCAAATTCGGTCGACTGAATCGTGTAGGAAAGATCGTACATGAAGATCACAATCTTTTCCTTGCACTGGGCCATCTCGCTGTTGGCAAAAGAGAAATGACTGTTTGTAGGTCGTAACTCGTACCACAAACCACAATCTGGATGATGATCCACGAAACCCATGAACTCTTTCGCTGCTTGTCTCGAGGTCATAGCCCGTGTGCAACCGATGTCCAAAACCATAGAGGTAGGGGACAGAGCATGTGTCAAAAAGGACTTGGAAACTTCTTCTTCATTGGAGTCCTGCTTGTAAACCGCTTCGGACACAAAACTGTGGTGCTGCACCCAAAAGGCGTTAGCTATGGCCGGAGTACCTGGGCCTGCCAAGGCAGCAGTCCTCTGGGCTTCCGAGGTGGCATTGGCATGGTCGCCCTTGCCGTCCTTTCCTTTCTTGTCTTTTCCCTTGAAGAACTTGCCCTTGCCTTTGCCCTTTCCTTTCCGACCTTTGGCTGCGTAGGAGTCGTCAGCTCCTTCTTGCCAATCAGTTTCTGTCCAGGCTTCATAGCTCCAATCATGCCATTCTTCGTTCCATGCCCAGTCGCTAGCGCTGACGTCTTCGGCGGCATGGGCCTTCCCTTTCTTGCGTTTGAAAAAGCGTCGGCCACCATGGCCCTTGCCTTTTCCTTTCCGGCCCTTGCCCTTTCCTTTTCCACGTCGCAACTTACGACCTTGGAACTTCCGCTGAAACCACGTGTAAGACTCATCGTCGTAGACCCAGAAGCAATCCTCAAAGGCGTCCAGGAAGCCTTCTGCGCCATCATCCTCGTCCTCGCACCAGTAGCCTTGGCTCTCATCGAGGGTACCTTCATCGATGACGATAAAACTTTTTCTTCCTGGAGCACTTGTGGGTGCTAGAAGAGGGTTGTCTACTGTGGTCTTCGTGGTGCAAAACACTTCCAAATACACTGTTCTCAGCTCATCCACTCTGTAATCTGTGAGTGCCCTGTTCTTGTGCGCCATAAGAGAAGTAAGAACTTGTCTTTGGTCTTGGGTAAGGTCTGACAGGGTCACGAACAGCAGGGCAATGAGGTTCGCTGTGATGGGTAGTGCTCTTCCATGTGTTTCTCTCCCTTGTTCGTTGACTCGGCGAAGTGCTTCTTCGGGAGTGATTGCCTGTTGTTCTTCTTGAGGTAGTCTTAGAACATAGGCTCTCACCACGGGGTCGTTTTCACTCACTAGGGGAACAAAAGTGTCCATCCATGACTCGTTCATGCGCTGGTAGGACAGCTGGAATCTTGTCATCCACCTCAGCATATCACCACTACCACGATGCATGTTCATGAACTGCTGGAATCTGTAGAGGAAAACGTTCGCTGCACCCTTCACGAAGTAAGGCCTAAGGAAGCGCTTGAAGTACCTGACTCCATCTTCCTTGTTCTTCAAAGCTTCTCGATCAAGCAATCTCTTGTAGATAGCAGCTTCACCTTCAAGTCTGTTTCTCAATGCGGGTCCTCTCTTCTCTGGTTCAAGTTCTGTGATATCACACCAGTCGTCTACGGCATCTTCGAAAGCAAACCAGCTACTTCTACCATCATAAGATGGGGGAACCTTGGTGGTCACCTGCTGAAAGGCAGAAAGACGCTGAAGCTCTTCCAGTGACCTGTTCCCTGCAGCTAAGGCTTCTCCGTCTGGTTCTTCGTAGTCGTCGAACTGGTCGTACGAGTGACTTGCCATGGCTCTACGATTGGGCTCGGATCGGCTTCCGGTTTTCGAGCTTCTGGCTGCCTCTGTCCGAACAGAGCGTGCCAAGGATTACCCTGGACACCTCTGTTGGTACAGAGCACTCCAGGTAATTCCCGGAAGCTCCGCTACCACGTTGAGATGAAACCTGAGCGTTACCAGCCTCCGGCTCGGTACAGCTGGCAAGGCACGCAGGTGTCTCTTTTAGCTCTGCTGGCTAAGTGTATCACTCTGATCCAGAACCTCGGGCACAGGCCACTGCATGCCATGATGACTGAACCCTGTGGCATACCTGTCTCTATTTCACCCCGCCCCCCCCGCCCCCCCCCGCCCCCCCCAGCCCACCCCGCCCACCCCGCCCACCCCGCCCCCCCCCCGCCTCCCCCCGTTTTCACCCCTTCACCTCTGCCCCCCAGGGTTTCGAGTTTAAGGTGTGAGGTTTAGGGTTTAAGGTTGCGCGCCAATTCCCTGCGCGTGAAGACTCAATGTTTCGCCCCCCCTGAACTCTAGAACCTATGGATATATGTAAGCGCAATGTAGGGGGTGTTTGTGTCCCTTCCGAGCCTAAACCAAGCCCTGCGCCCTAAACCCTAGGGCCTCCTGTCGGGGTCGGCGGCATTGGCGGTAGCCATTAAATTATTATTGTTAGTTCCCTTCATAAAGTCAGATTATTAAGGTATTTTACTTTGAAAAATGCAACAATTACTGGAAGTTTTATGAGTTCCACACACTACTTTCAAGAAGCTGCATCCAGACCAGCTGTGTCATCAGCAGGTGTAAGCACTCCAACCTAGCCATTGCCCGACCCGAAAAACAGCTTCAAAGACACTAATTACGGTGCCTGCCCGATCGTCGCCAGGAAGGAGTGGGCGGTCATGGGCAGTTCAACCCGCTTGGCGTGCGTCAAAGCGTCCAGTGGACCGCGGCCCAATGTCTGGCCAAGAAAGGAGTGCTCTCTTGTTATAAAGCTGCCACTACTATGGCTCGGCTTCTTACATGTATGCTCACAATCAAATGCGTCGTACTCATATCGGAGAGCTCCAAAGTCTCGGCATCTCTATTCCACGAATGTCACGCTATCACGATCAACAAAAACAACGTACGAGTAAATGCGTCCCCAACATCTGACACGTCTCGTCATTGATAGTTTCTGTCCATCGCTGCCTTGCTGTCGCATATTATGGAAGAAGACTTGAGAAACAATGGGGAAGACGCATACAAATCTCCGAAACACGCACCCCCGAGATCTCGACTCAGGACGTTTCTTAACCCTCCATGTGCCTTGGCGACGAGGCCTGGGGCGGCGGGCTCCCTGAACAATGCTGGTACTTGTCGCATGCCCGAAACATGTTGGCCCATTGGACTGCTGCCAGCTCTTCTTACGCATGTGCCCAAGGTTGTTGCCAGCTTATTTGTCTGTCCCGGCACCCTGCCTCAGATCGGTATGGACAGGTCCGCATACCTGCCAAAATCTTGATACGACCAACTGCTCCTCATGAACGTGTCCAGCTGTTGCAGGGGCCAACCTCAAAAACAAACCCTCATGAACCTATCAGCTTAGCTGCTAAAGTCTGTCGTTGTCCGCGCTGGCAATGCCGGCAGCGTCCCTCCGGCACGGTTACCTGCACCTGCAAATCACAGACGCATGGCGCGGGGTTGAAGCCACCGTAGGCCGTACAGCCCTAGCAACAGCATGATCTGATCACAGACCTAGCCTGTATGTCTGCAGGATGGCGGGTGAGGACCTCGGCCCAAAAACAGGCACGGCTCTGTTGGCTCGGCAAGCAACTCAGCTTTATCAGGGTGCCCAGTTGAAGCAAGTTCAAGCCCTGGACATGCAAACAGTGTTGCACGTAACGCGAGCGATCTGCTTCGTGAGTGCCGTAGTCCTCGCAAACTTCCGAGACCGTGGGAAACCATGTCAGACGTCGAAGTGCTTCCGCTACATCATGCCATGTCTCCTTCGTGCTCGGCAAATGAGGAGCTGAAACCTCCGCTCGAAGTGAATGTCCGCAGTCGTACCTGACCACCTTGGCAAAGAGCTGCTTTCTTGCGCGAGCCAAGTTTGTAGCAATCAAATGCAATCAACTCTACGCTGACTCAACCCAGGCTCCGACAAACTCGTTGCAACCTCTGCGTTCGGCGATTTGCCAAACCTCGCATTGTTGGGTGCATGGTCGTGACGCCTTCCGTTCTCCCACTGGGCCACTGCACAATATGCATTACTCTCTGGATTCAGAGCATTCGAGAGCGACTGACTACTGACCTCGAACTGCCACTGCTCATTTGCAAGATTTGCAGCGCTTCTGCAGCCAAGATGCTATGTCCGCAAAGTCCCGCCGCTGGTTGCCTTCCACCAAGGACAGCTCCTGGAAAGACGTGCATGGGAAAGAGATGAAAAGAGCACATGCTGATACACTAGTGCTATTCATGCTGCTTTTGTTGGGGTTCTTAGAACGCTGCACAAATCCCAAACTCGGCAACTGAGTGCTTCAAGTGCTTCACGATATGTGGCTGAAGTCAGCAAGAACAACGACAGCAGTAACCACCACCACCATCACCATCAAGCCGCTGCGGACTGTAGCTGTGCTGCGTTGGGAAATCGGAGGCTGATCCCTGAAATGCATGGCATGGTCACCCTGGCGAGTATTTATGCACACGTACATTTGACTACATGAATGGCTGCCTTGCCACGGCATGTGCTAGCTCAAGAACGATGTAGCAGTGGCACATCCCAAGAACCTGTTGTCCGCAACTGTGTTGGTGCAATCGCTGCAGCTCAAATCACGACCAGACTCGGTTGTCGTGTAGGTGTGCGAGGGGGTGTGGGGGGGGGTGCGACGAGAGCATTTCGCCCGGACATGCGCTACGAGTTTTGTCAGATTGCTGCTTTCAATTCAGCCAGCTTGTGTTCATGCACAGGCCATGGCGGAGCACTCAGTGCAACAGTTGCAGCATATGGCCTCTGCACTTCGATTGCTCAGTTCGCAGGTTGTCTTCGGGGAAATTCGGGGTGCTTTGACGCGCCTTCGACTGTTTGGGGTCTTCGGTGGTGTGATTTTTTCACGTCCGCTCCACAATCCTAAGAACCACAAGCAAGTGCGATCTCCACGCAATTGGCCCCTACTTCTTGCGAGCCTTCTGGTTCAACCGTTGGAGCTTTTTCAAGTCCAGAGGTCATGGATAGGAGATCCTCCCTCCATGCGTTTCAGCAGCTGAAAGGTGTGTCTTTCGTGCGTTTAGAAAGTGATATTTTTCCATTGCTAAAAAAACGCCTGAACTTCCAGGCCGCAAGCGTCAAAACATCAACAGAGTGACTACGTAAACTTTCGCCGTCCTGCATGACTTTGGTCCGGGTAGAAGGCCGACTTCCTTGCAAAAGCGTCCACATGACCTCCAAACCCTAAACCCTGGTTGCATAATCGCCAGCCGTTCGGCCTGCGCCCTGGTGATGTTCAGACAGAGCAATCAAGGGCCATGGCAGTTTGCACCAAGCTCTTGTGTCGCCCTGATTGGCTAGGCGGGTGACTGATTTCAGAGATTCAGTGAACTGTTGGTCTTGCAGTGCTGGATCTGTCAGCTCCGGCTGTTGTATGGCAAAGGGTCACATGGCGACAGGTGCAGGCACGCCGAGTGGATGACCCAGAGACTCCACTTCCAAATCGGCTGAAGGACAGACTATTCATTATGCTTGTCCCCGGCAGGACCTACGTGCTGTAAACCCTTTCCAAGATTCCTTGGTGGTTGCCCAAAATGGAGCGTACATTTGTGGGGGCTTTTGGACCACTGACCACTTATCTAGCTTTTATTCTCGCCTGCTGCGAAATAATAATTAGGACAGAAGAGAGTGAAGTGAATCATAAAGAAGCTAACCAGTGAGCGAATGCATGAATTCACTGAGCCAGCCAAAAGAAATGAAGAACTAACTTTTTTGTTCTGTTCCTCCGCTTGAAGTCATTGACCCTCCTCAGAAAATGCAATATACATGTACAGCACTCCGCATCTGAACCTACAAGCTCCTGGTGCAAAAGACCTTAAGGTCTGCACACGGGCCCGGGTTCTAGGGTTTAGGGTTCGAATATATCTCTTGGGTCTGGGATTCATAATTCAGACTACGACCTGTGCATGTTTAAAGACTCGTGCTCTGTAGCAAGAGCGGCAAACACGAAGAGCCGAACCATGCTGCTTGCGATATGATGCACAAAGAGCCCTTCGGGCCAGGCGTGCCTTGGCCAAAAGTGGGCACCAAGGCCACGAACGACAGCAAATGTAGGAATTCCTGTGGCATGCCTTCGAATTTTGCAAAGAACGTATGTACTGTCCAGATTCCACTTCTTGAAGATTACCTTCACGCCTGGCGACGTGTAGAGACCTGGTTGAGAACCGCCAACAGCAAGCAAAACGAATCTGAAAGTAACTCAAGGCAACTTGCGCCTGTTGCAGCAGCTGCGCCGCCTCAGACTTTTCCGCGGCGCTGAGTGGCGACAGGGAAGATGAGACCTACGATTTCAACATAAGTTGCCAGGCAAGGTTTCTGAACCGCCTGCAAAAGATGCGCCTGAGAATCCACTGTGGGGGCTGAAGTGTCGCAGGCACATGCTTGTCGAGTCCAGAAAGAAACTTCTTATTGCCACTAGCACGCTTGAGGGCTTGGCCTTTTGAAGGGCGGAGACAATGGCCTCAACTTCGGAGACTTTGAGCTGAATGCCCTGGCTCAGAGCCTGCACACACAACATCTCAAGCCTTCCGCAGCGCACATTTGACGCTAGATTCTCAGCCCCACGGGGGACGTAAGAGATGTGCAATGGCTGCTATGGACTCAGCGAGTTGGGATGGACAATAAGCTTCTTCCTCCCATGACACCCGAGGCCGAACGCAGCCCTAACACGTCAGGTTCCAATGTCCGGCAGAGCAGTGCAAACGATGCATGTTATCAAAGGGCACGTGTAACAATCTGCCTTCTGCAGCCAGGAAAAGATCTGCTCTATGCTGCCGGCAGGCAGGTCCTCAACTGTCGGCTTTTCCGACTGTCACCACTTGAAATTTTGCAAAGTTGCCATTTGTTCGCCAGGCTAAAAGAAAATTCGGGCGAACCTCCGCCTGCGACGAGAGGATGTCCATCAGGCGTCTGATCCTTCGACGGTTGTTGAAAGCATCTCAAAGCCGGACGGCCAATATCAACTTTGCCCGTACTGCAACCTTTGGCTGTGGCGCAGGCAGTCTCGAATTGGTCTCCGCATCCAAACTGCCCACAATTGGACCTTCTGCAGGCGCAGTCCGATCATTGAACTCACCAAAGCCGCGGGACCCTGGTGATCTGACGTCAGATCTGAAATCCGAGCCTGTATGCTTCATGAGTTGAAGCAAGCAGGCCTCGTCAGGCACTGCCATGACCTGTTCAAGAGGCACGCGAGCATGCCGGGCATGGCCTACTCCCATGCGGTGGCATCCAAAGGCCTGGCTGTAAGCCTCGGCGAAGTGACCCGAGGCACAAAGCCCCATCACACAGCCCGATAGTTGACCACCAGCTTTCCTCAACTTTCAACTGCACATGGAAACTGCATCTTGGACTCTGTTATGTCAAGAGCCCAGTTGAGCAATCTCACGCCCCCCCCCCCCCCACCCCAACCCTCCTCCCCTAAGACGCCACCCACAGCCTCCTGCAAACCTAACTCTGAGCCCTTTAAAACTAAACCCTAAACCCCGACTGCAAAGCACTCAAAGCCGTGGAACTTAATAGGAAGCGCAGGTCCTGACCTGGATAAAGTAGCCCTGAAGGTTGTAGGCACTCCAGACATGCACCCTCGATACCCGCTTAGAAGGGCTTGGGTGTAGGTTTTAGACGTGACGCGTGTCGCGCCCACCTAACCTCGCCACTGCAGAACCGACAGGTTGTTGGCCGAGGCGGGTCACGTTGCGTTAAAACAGCTCGCGTCATCAAAGACCTGGGTTTTGGAAGGGCCCAGCGGGATTCATGTCTCTTGATGCCGGTTTGAATGAGCTTCTTATGTACTTCCAGCAAGGGGTCTGCGAGGATGTCGTGGATGATGAACTTGGGTCAGCCTCGCACCGTATAGATGAGTATCAACATCGGCGCACATCACCGAAAGCACATGTCTGTCGCACCTCAACGAGCGCTTCCGCAGGTCGCTCCACCTAGCAATCAGGTCATGGCATGACCATTATGCCTTGTCCTCACGCGCATACACGCACACTTTCTGTCGATTGCAACGCCGGATTTTATGAAGCAGCGCTAGCCCTGAGCGAGGCGAGGTCTGATGTCTGATACCCAAATGCGCACAAGCCAGTGGCCCTGCATGTCCTTGAACCTTGAAACCTTTGGCCCTTTGACTCAGAAATGGGAAATGCTCAGGCCCTTACCGGCTGAGTTGCCGGGTTCCCACCCTCGACCTGCAGGGTTTCCGGCATTGAACGCTGGGCTCAAGTCAAAGCTCAGGAGCCAACGCCAAAAGAAGAGCAAGCTTGAATGCTGTCTGACTAACCCCTTGCTGGGCCGGCATCAGTGGCGTGTGGATTCCTATGCAACGCCGGGCTGCCTGCTCGTGTGGAGCTTCAAGCGGAAAAGCTCCGACTGATAGATTCCAAGGCCCAAACTGGCCAATCCCTTGAGCTTGTGCCTGGAATCTCGACGCTGAACACTCAGGCCCCGACCCTCCGCTTCGGAGGAGGTGCAGGGGCCGCCTCAAAATTGAACACTGCAAACAGAGAACTCCAAAGCCCAGTGTTCCAGGAAGCAGAAGCAATGCCTCTGTCGGAAACAGTCCGAGCTCTTTGCGGGGCTGTTGTGTACGTTGCGGGGTCTCAGGAGTCTTGCAGCGTTTGGGTTCCTACTGATCCAGTTGGGTACCTCACCTTGCTGCATACTTCGGCACAACATATGTGGCCCTGTGAATCCCAGATCTGGAACCCAACAATTCCAATGCGTTGACGAACCGAGGCGATGTCGGATGTCTGATACCCAAATGCGCACAAGCTAGTGGCCATGCATGTCCTTGAAACTTGCAACCTTTGACTCGGAAATGCTCAGGCCCTTACCGGCTGAGTTGCCGGGTTCCCACCCTCGACCTGCAGGGTTTCCGGCATTGAACGCTGGGCTCAAGTCAAAGCTCAGGAGCCAACGCCAAAAGAAGAGCAAGCTTGAATGCTGTCTGACTAACCCCTTGCTGGGCCGGCATCAGTGGCGTGTGGATTCCTATGCAACGCCGGGCTGCCTGCTCGTGTGGAGCTTCAAGCGGAAAAGCTCCGACTGATAGATTCCAAGGCCCAAACTGGCCAATCCCTTGAGCTTGTGCCTGGAATCTCGACGCTGAACACTCAGGCCCCGACCCTCCGCTTCGGAGGAGGTGCAGGGGCCGCCTCAAAATTGAACACTGCAAACAGAGAACTCCAAAGCCCAGTGTTCCAGGAAGCAGAAGCAATGCCTCTGTCGGCAACAGTCCGAGCTCTTTGCGGGGCTGTTGTGTACGTTGCGGGGTCTCAGGAGTCTTGCAGCGTTTGGGTTCCTACTGATCCAGTTGGGTACCTCACCTTGCTGCATACTTCGGCACAACATATGTGGCCCTGTGAATCCCAGATCTGGAACCCAACAATTCCAATGCGTTGACGAACCGAGGCGATGTCGGATGTCTGATACCCAAATGCGCACAAGCTAGTGGCCATGCATGTCCTTGAAACTTGCAACCTTTGACTCGGAAATGCTCAGGCCCTTACCGGCTGAGTTGCCGGGTTCCCACCCTCGACGACCTGCAGGGTTTCCGGCATTGAACGCTGGGCTCAAGTCAAAGCTCAGGAGCCAACGCCAAAAGAAGAGCAAGCTTGAATGCTGTCTGACTAACCCCTTGCTGGGCCGGCATCAGTGGCGTGTGGATTCCTATGCAACGCCGGGCTGCCTGCTCGTGTGGAGCTTCAAGCGGAAAAGCTCCGACTGATAGATTCCAAGGCCCAAACTGGCCAATCCCTTGAGCTTGTGCCTGGAATCTCGACGCTGAACACTCAGGCCCCGACCCTCCGCTTCGGAGGAGGTGCAGGGGCCGCCTCAGAACTGAACACTGCAAACAGAGAACTCCAAAGCCCAGTGTTCCAGGAAGCAGAAGCAATGCCTCTGTCGGAAACAGTCCGAGCTCTTTGCGGGGCTGTTGTGTACGTTGCGGGGTCTCAGGAGTCTTGCAGCGTTTGGGTTCCTACTGATCCAGTTGGGTACCTCACCTTGCTGCGTACTTCGGCACAACATATGTGGCCCTGTGAATCCCAGATCTGGAACCCAACAATTCCAATGCGTTGACGAACCGAGGCGATGTCGGATGTCTGATACCCAAATGCGCA